CCGAGTGGTTGAGTGGATGGCCTTCCAAAAACTCTAGTGCTTGAAACCTGACCCACAAAACAACGGATGATCCAAGGGTCACCCTAAAAAAATGGATCGAAAACTTCAACCTTTTTTTGGTGGCAGAATGCGCTCCGTCGGTGTCACCTACTCAGTAGGCGTAGCTGTGATGGTCCCATGGTCCTTGTCAATGAAGGCCACGTTGGACACGCTCGCCTGCGGAGGTGATGAGTCCATGTTTTTCCGTGGGGGATGCGGACCTACATGCTGATCCACAATGGGATGATGTTTTCATGATCCCCTTAGGCCCTTGGTTCGTTCATGGGAGAAGCACAACCCACTTCCGCTGGATCTGCAGGAAACCTGAGGGATTGATGAAGCCCTCATGGCTACCCGGCCGTCTTCACTGAAAGGCGGACACCATGTCCAAACTGGTCCAAACTTTGACCCAAAGATCTAGATCTGGTGGAAGAATTACAGCAGCCTCTGGTAGTTTTACTGTAGCTATGGATATCAATTGCCCATTTAGTTCGACCCTGTATCATCGTTGACTGATAAATTGTTTCGATGACGCATTTGATGACGAGCATTAGAATTACCTTTCTGTAGCTATGTCAAATTAGCAGAGGCTACATGATGGAATCCTGCTATCAAAACATCAGAAGCAATGCACAATGGGTCTTGGAAAGGCCTGAAGGTCGCTTGACAGTGTGGCAACTTATGCCTTTGAAGGATCACAAAAACGCTACACATATGCTACACGTATCATCCACCCTCTCCCAAAGATGAAACAAAACATGTTTGAAATGTCAAAAAAAGGTACTTCTCCTTTTTTGCTGAATCCTTCATGCCCATACACTTCTCCTAGAATTGGTTGCGGTAAAACTTCCCGGGAAAGTCTAGTCTAGTCAAGTGAGATTCTCAAACGTGTCGAAACCACGCGTATTCTGCAAGGTCTTCATTAATTAAAGGACCGGATAACCCCACAAGTCAACTTCTTCCAATAATAAGCATGAAAGGTTGTAGCAGGGACGGGGAAAGAAGGTTAGGGGAAAGGAGGCGGTGAAGGATCGAGAAGTTAAAACAGTTGTGAGTGACAAAGTGGAATGTGAAAGATGGTGTGTGTGTGTGACACAGCAGTGTGTGAAAGATGGCGTGTGTGAAAGTTGTGTGTGAAAGAGAGTGTGTGACAAAGTTGTGTGTGAAAGATGGTGTGTGACAAAGTGGTGTGTGAAAGATGGTGTGGCGAAAGATGGTCGGTGTGTGACAAAGTTGTGTGTGAAGGATGGTGTGGTGAAAGATGGTGTGTGACAAAGTGGTGTGTGAAGGATGGTGTGCTGAAAGATGGTGTGGGTGAAAGTCCTGTGTGAAAGAGAGCATGTGACAAAGTTGTGTGTGAAAGACGGTGTGTGGCAAAGTGCTGTGTGAAAGATGGTGTGTCAAAGATGGTGTGTGACAAAGTTGTGTGTGAAAAATGGGGTGGTGAAAGATGGTGTGTGGAAGATGGTGTGGTGAAAGATGGTGTGACAAAGTGGTGTGTGACAAAGCGGTGTGTGAAACTTGGTGTGTCAAAGATGCTGTTTGACAAAGTTGGGTGTAAAAGATGGTGTCTGAAAGATGGTGTGTTACAAAGATGGTGTGTAAAAGAGGGTGTGTCAAAGATGGTGGGTGACAATGTGGTGTGTGAAAGATGGTGCGTGAAAGATGGTGGGTGACAAAGTTGGGTGTGAAAGATGGTGTGCGAAAGATGGTGTGTGACAAAGTGGTGTGTGAAAGAGGGTGTGTCAAAGCTGGTGCCACGCCTGCCACGCAAAACGACAGTGGATGTGAGTTTGTGCCACGCCTGCCACGTGAAACGAAGGTGGATGTCACCAAGTGCCACGCCTGCCACGCAAAGTGCCGCGGCGTCACAGGCGACAAATCCGGACCAAGCGCGCCACCCAGTACCATGAGTGCCACGCCTGCCACGCAAAACGACGGTGGATGCGAGTTTTGTGCGTCTGCCACGCGAAACGAAGGTGGATGTCACCAAGTGTCACGCCTGCCACGCAAAGTGCCGCGGCGTCACAGGCGACAAATCCGGACCAAGCGGGCCACCCAGTACCATGAGTGCCACGTCTGCCACGCAAAACGATGGTGGATGCAAGTTTGTGCCACGCCTGCCACGTGAAACGAGGGTGGATGTCACCAAGTGCCACGCCTGCCACGCAAAGTGCCGCGGCGTCACAGGCGACAAATCCGGACCAAGCGCGCCACCCAGTACCATGAGTGCCACGATTGCCACGCAAAACGACGGTGGATGCGAGTTTTGTGCCACGCCTGCCACGTGAAACGAGGGTGGATGTCACCAAGTGCCACGTCTGCCACGCAAAGTGCCGCGGCGTCACAGGCGACAAATCCGGACCAAGCGCGCCACCCAGTACCATGAGTGCCACGCCTGCCACGCAAAACGACGGTGGATGTGAGTTTGTGCCACGTCTGCCACGTGAAACGAAGGTGGATGTCACCAAGTGCCACGCCTGCCACGCAAAGTGACGCGGCGCCCCGGGCGACAAATCCGGACCAAGCGCGCCACACAGTACCATGAGTGCCACGCCTGCCACACAAAACGACGGTGGATGTGAGTTTGTGCCACGCCTGCCACATGAAACGAAGGTGGATGTCACCAAGTGCCACGCCTGCCACGCAAAGTGGCGCGGCGCCCCGGGCGACAAATCCGGACCAAGCGCGCCACCCAGTGCCATCTGTCCCACGCCTGCCACGCAAAACGACGGTGGATGTCAGGTTGTGCCACGTCTGCCACGTGAAACGAAGGTGGGTGTCACCAAGTGCCACGCCTGCCACGCAAAGTGACGCGGCGCCCCGGGCGACAAATCCGGACCAAGCGCGCCACACAGTACCATGAGTGCCACGCCTGCCACACAAAACGACGGTGGATGTGAGTTTGTGCCACGCCGGCCACATGAAACGAAGGTGGATGTCACCAAGTGCCACGCCTGCCACGCAAAGTGGCGCGGCGCCCCGGGCGACAAATCCGGACCAAGCGCGCCACACAGTACCATGAGTGCCACGCCTGCCACGCAAAACGACAGTAGATCTGCGTTTGTGCCACGCCTGCCACGTGAAACGACAGTAGATGTGAGTTTGTGCCACGCCTGCCACACAAAGTGCCGCGGCGTCACAGGCGCCCAAGCCCGTCCAAGCGCGCCACCCAATGCCATCTGTCCCACGCCTGCCACGCAAAACGAGAGTAGATGTGAGTTTGTGCCACGCCTGCCACGTGAAACGAAGGTGGATGTGAGGTTGTGCCACGCCTGCCACGCAAAGTGGCGCGGCGCCCCAGGCGCCAAATCCCGGCCCAAGGGCGCCACCCAGTAGCATCTGTCCCACGCCTGCCACGCAAAACGACGGCAGATGTCTGACAAAGTGTTTGTTGAGAAAATGTATGTTGACAAAGTGTATGTTGATAAAGTGTGTGTGGACAAAGTGTGTGGTGACAAAGTGTGTGTGGACAAAGTGTGTGGTGACAAAGTGTATGTTGATAAAGCGTGTGTGGACAAAGTGTTTGTGGACAAAGTGTTTGTGGACAAAGTGTGTGGTGACAAAGTGTGTGTGGACAAAGTGTGTGTGGACAAAGTGTTTGTGGACAAAGTGTTTGTGGACAAAGTGTGTGGTGACAAAGTGTGTGTGGACAAAGTGTGTGTGGACAGAGTGTTTTGGACAAAGTGTTTGTTGAGAAAATGTATGTTGACAAAGTGTATGTTGATAAAGTGTGTGTGGACAAAGTGTGTGGTGACAAAGTGTTTGTTGAGAAAATGTATGTTGACAAAATGTATGTTGATAAAGTGTGTGTGGACAAAGTGTGTGGTGACAAAGTGTGTGTGGACAAAGTGTTTTGGACAAAGTGTTTGTTGAGAAAATGTATGTTGACAAAGTGTATGTTGATAAAGTGTGTGTGGACAAAGTGTGTGGTGACAAAGTGTTTGTTGAGAAAATGTATGTTGACAAAATGTATGTTGATAAAGTGTGTGTGGACAAAGTGTGTGGTGACAAAGTGTGTGTGTGGACAAAGTGTGTGGTGACAAAGTGTATGTTGATAAAGTGTGTGTGGACAAAGTGTGGAGGAGGGCGGAGGAGGAGGCGGAGGAGGAGGCGGAGCCCGGGATACAGAATCAAAAACAAGAACCCCACACAAAGATGTGGGGAACAAGAACCCCACACAAAGATGTGGGGAATAACTGTTTGGGAACTTGGTTGGGTTCTTTTGAAGCAACAAACATAACATCTGTATACAGTATGGAAAGCTCACTGGATTGTATTGGGATGTTCCACGGGATTTTGGACCTTTGGAATATAGAAGCCAAACAACAAAAAATAGTTCTGTCATGGGATTCAAATGGTGGTTAAGTGCTTTTTATTGGGAAACATGAGGGTGTTGACCAAAACCCATCAATATCCCCACGAAATATCCCTATTTCGAATGGTTGGTTCCAACATTGACCATGGCACATATTTTGATGGCTGAACCATCATGTATCAGTCATGTATCAACTACCCTCTGGTAAACTAACAGTTCGCTATTGAAAATGGTGATTTATAGTGGATTTAGCCATTAAAAATGGTGATTTTCCAGTTCGTTACGTTGGTTTACCAGAGGGTAAAACCCATTTCCCCCAGTTTTGTGCTGGTGGTGTCATCAACCATCAGGGGTTGGTTTACCATGAATGTTCATCCCCAAAAATTTATGGTACTAGTTCAATGTTCATCAATAACTTGAATGGAAACTGAAAATCCACCCATATATATATACTGTATATAAATCCACCAAAAACTATTTGTTTGAAAATCCCCTGACAAAAATAGAACATAGTCGTTGATATGTCCCACTTTTTGATCCCATATCAAAATCCCATATCAAAATCCCATTGAACACCTATAAGACCCATTAAAGACCCATGAAAAATCATGAAAAATCCCACGACCTGGCAAAAGTTCCACTGCCTCGTAGCCGCTCTTGTACTTGGGAGCCACGTAGCGCGTCTGCAGCAGCTCGAAGAGACACCAGGAGCGTTGCCTTAGCCGCTACAGCTAGTGTGGGGTTATATGAAGGTTTCCAAAGTCATGGGGGTACCCCTAAATCATCCATTTATAGATGGATTTTCCATTAGAAACTATCCATTTTGGGGTACCATAATTTATGAAAACCCCTATATGTAGGGTGAGGGATGAAAAGAAATACATTCAAGGCATCAAAAAAAATGGTTCCACTGGGGATCAACAAGTAGTACACGTCTAAGGCATCCAAAAAAAAACTGGAACCCCTCGTTTTCTATGGCGCTTGCAACAGTTTGGAGTCGAAACCGTTTTTTTTCCGGTTTGCAGCGCTTTGGAAGTGGAACCCCCCGCTCGTAAGGACATTGGACCTGGAAATCACGCATTCGCACGCATGTTTTGTCAAAATGTTTGTTTGTGAGAATTTTGTGAACATGTTGCAGCTCGACGCTGCCGTTTAGGGCAATATTTGCAACACTTTGGATTCCGAACCTTTCATTTTCGATTGTTGGTTTTAAATTTGTTTAAGGTTGGCTCAAGGTTTTTGAGAGGTGGTTTACGGGTTGTTTAGGTTGACTGAGGTCTGATTTAGGGTTGGTCATTTAGGGTCGGTGTATGGGTTTTTAAAGGTTTCGTTGGGTTTCTCTAGGCTTGGTTTAGGGGCAAACAGCAATATGGGAAAAGGAACAAATGCAGCACTGCCAAGACATGGAAAGAAACACCACGACTGGATAGCGTGGCCAAGAAAAAAACAGCAATTTTGGAACGGGAACCCTTCAAAATACGCCTGGAAAAATTGCAGAGGTCAGTGTTTGTGGTCAAGAAATGAACAAGTTGGACTTTGGGATGGAATTTTGCGCGCAGACTCCAGACATTTCGGTTTCTGGGCTAAACATGATAAACACAAGTATCAGTATCAGTATCAGTTTCGATTCTCTATTTTATGCCATGGCTGTTCCCATCGATTTCCCAAGCACCTTTGCACCAAACATGGCAGTTTTCTTGTTCGCGTTGCACTTCCCAGAGGCACAAAGCCTTTCAGGATGCCAACCCACTTTCCACATGGAATGGGGCATATTCTAAGTATTTTGTACTCGAATTCGCCTGCGGAATCGATATTTTGCATATTCTATGATAGCGGGAAACTTATCTATCTATCTATCTATCTATCTGTCTGTCTGTCTGTCTGTCTGTCTGTCTATTTATCTATCTATCTATCTATCTATCTTCAACCCCAAGAAAGAAAGAAAGAAAAAAAGAAAGAAAGAAAGAAAGAAAAGAAAAGAAAAGAAAAGAAAGAAAGAAAGAAAAAAGAGAGAGAGAAAGAGAGAAAGAAAGAAAAACATAGGGAGAGAGATTCATGTAACTAGGCATATTCATCGAATAGGACTGCAGTACTTCATGTAATTTTTACCTGTTTACGAACATTGGACACGGGGGTCTTTGAACTCATTTGGATGCCCATGGTGGCGTCTGACATGGGTTCTGTAGCCAATTTTGAGAAACAATTGTATCTTTAGACCTTGAGTATCTTGCTGTCCCACTTCTCCTCGGAGCAACCCCAAAAAGAAAAGAGTCGGGTGAAATTTTGAAAGTAACATACACCATGTATATCTTGTCGGGTGTTACTATAACCGTGCTGGAGATTTCATAGTCCAATAATTAAAAGTTAAATCCATAACACGGGACTTTCCAAAGATTACCGTGCGTTCCATCATTTGGCGGGGAAACTAAGGGGGCATAACCATGGACGGGTATGCAAACGGGGCTGTCAAAATGAATTGCGTTCAACTTGACACGGCCGTGCATCAAAGAAAATTTCCCAGCGTCAAACCATATGGCCAAAAAATGTATTGCCAATGGAAAAACGGACAGTGTAACAAAGGGACATGGGGGATGAAACAAGTGCACCAGGACATGGGACAAAAATTTTGATTTTTGTTGGTAAAGTACACATTTTGGTTACTTTCTGTGAATGGTTGAAAGATGTTGAAAAAACATGGTCTTTTCAGCAAACCCAATAGCATCTGTCTTTTTTTTGGTAAAATCCCTCAGGTCAACTTAATTACAGCTCAATTTCCGTTTGTGAAATCCTTCTAAGAAACGATGTAAGCCTATGAATATCCTAATTTTTCTCAACCAGACATCTTCCTCACACCTGCATACTAAGGCATACTACTTCGAGGATCATGCCAATTGGCAATTGGTTTGCAACCATAATTGAAAGGTGTGTGATTTCCGGGGTATCCCATGTACGATTGGGTTTGACACATACTAGCCAGTGACGATCCGTGGACTGGTCCTCCCGGCAATCGCTGCCCCTCTAATGCCACAAGTTCATCACCCCACTACATCCCCATTTGGGTTGGTTTCGAACACATTTTGATGGTCTGAACCCCTATTTTGAAATTTTTGCCAAGCTACAGAGGCGTGCAGTCGTTGTCCAAAACCATTGCGGTGCCCTGACCTGATCACCGAGGCTGGCCGTGCCCGTCCTGGTCGCACTTTGAAATACTAAGAAGCTTCGAACAAAAGGATGATTTTCCTTTGGGAAGTTCCATTTTATTTCTTGAGGGTTCCCCAGCGACCTGGCTCACCAACCCGGCAACCTATCACTGTCATTTCTGGGGGCCGCTCAATAGGCAATTCCGGATGCACAAGTTGGAGCGCGCCGCTTTGTGCTTGTCAGTTTCCAACAGGTGCGCGTGGGGCATGCTGATGCCGGGCAAAGCTCTGCGTTCGGTCCGTTTCAGCACACAAACATCAAGCTAAGCAGCGCCGGGCGCGCAAACCCGCGCATTGACCGGCTTTGGTCTGCAATTCGTTGGGAACCTCATCCGGCAGTGGCAACAGTGCGTTTCTTCATGGTTGAGGTCCGGCGACACAGAGCGATTTCTGGCATATCTTCTGGCATAATGTGTGTCTGATATCGGAACTGTCACATTCGGCCATTCGGCGACATGTGTATGTACATGTGGAGTGACAGGTACAATGCCAGTTGTCTAACATATTGACCGACTATGTGAATATGAAATAATATGAAAAGATTCATATGTGAGTATGTAATGAATGATATTGCTAGGACATGTTCGATGACGTATGTACTGGCATCAGTCCTGACACATAAAAAGTGACATGCTGCGCCTTGGAGAAAACCCAGCAGCTGAGGCGGTTCAGGCGATGGCAGCCCCAATAGTACAGGGGTGCTCCCTTCAGATACGAGGGGGATGACCAGGGTCGATAAAGAATGATCAAGAATTACCAATTGTCCCCCCTTTTAGCAAACATTTACCTATAACTGGTTGGATGAACTAACTCTGGTGCAAATTACGAAATATGTCTTTTGCGAAATTGACCGGGATTGTTATAACCATTCTAAACAGAATTGGAACATCAAACATATGGATGATATCAATGGGGAACCAATGGACCGAGAAAAGTGTGGAAAGCTGATGGTCAGGGCCCAGGACTTTCAAACTTGGGGGAGGGTTCTTCAATTTTCCCGCCAGCAACATAGAGATAAACCTGGTTTCACAGGAAAATGATCTACAAATAGTGGGTGTTCCATATCTATATTGATTTTCTGGAGGATTTTTCTTGTACGCCACATGCTAGTTGCTGTAAACGGCCACACGCACACACTTTAGAAGCAACCACACTATTGTCAACTTGGCAATTCACAAGCAACGGCCTCAAGAGTCAGTTTCTCATGGACCGCTGTGTGAAGTTCAACCCCAAAGTTTCCCATCTTCGTCGATGTTCATTCTCATTCTCATTGAACGGCTCCTGCTGCTTAAATTTCGCATTAGAACCAACATAGCCTACCCTCTGGTAAACAAACATAACTATGGAAAATCACCATCTTTCATCCGCCGACCCCTGCCTAGCCTTGGCCGCCCGGGACCACCGAAGGTGTAACAGTAGCCGCTGCAGTTTCAGCTCTTTGCCAGGTCCCAAAACTCTTTGCCGGCCCACCCGTCAGCTGCCCACATGTTGTTCCTATAGCATTTCAAGGCGTTGTTCGCCGGCCCCTGAAATGTCACGCTGCCGCTTCAGTGCGTTGCCAGGTCCCAAAACTGTTTGCCAGCTCCCCAGAACATTGTTTCTATAGCATTTCGAAACTGCCGCGCGGCACGTTTCACCAACCGCGCTTCTGAGAGGTTACCACAAGCTTCCAGGAACTCTTCACACCAGCTTGCCCAAGGCTCAAAAATCGCAAAAAACATCCCCCTTTAACAGGGGGTCGGCGGCATCCGGGCGTTAGCCCTTTTATGGGTGAATCAACTATAAATCACCATTTTCAATAGCTATTTTTATTTCCCAGAGGGTATCCCAAATGGGAAAATGTAATTTTGAGCCATATCTTTAGTATCATCAAGCCGTCCCCATGTTGATAAACACCCAGATGTTGGTTGGAAGACATCCCATGTTTGTTTGACACGTTCCTTATTTCTGGATGGCGAACCCTCCTACAAATTAGTTGGCTCACTCCTTGTTCTCCTAATCTTCTGCAGGTCAAATCAATAAAAGCCACGTCTGTTGTCCTGGAAATCAACCATAGTGTGGCCGACCAAAAAAAAACATAAACCATACAAACCATACCTGCACGGAATGACTTGCCTTGTGATTATCATTAACCATACCGAGTTGGAGTTTGTCATTGTTGGCAACTCCTCAATTGTTGACTGGGTCAAACCCACATGTTTCATCATGTGCAGGGTCAAATCGAGGTGTTTCATCATTTTCGTAGGAAAAAAAAACACATGTTTTTTCGGTGTTTCCCAGAATCAGGCCCCATCAAAAATGATCAAGATTGAAGGGTCACCGTTTAGGAAACACCCAAATCCCTAGATTGTTGTTTTCGTATGTTTCTGTGGATTATAAACCCAACAGTCTACCAAAACTCTACATGTTACGCCGTTACGCTGGGGTTACTGGCTCATCTTTGCTGACATCCCCATCTCTGGTGATGAAAATCCCGCTTTGGATCGGTTAAGCCACGCCATCGTTACAGGTACAAATCAACGCTGGATCCGCTGCATCAATCCCGAAAAATTGCTTCCCTCTTTTCCGCGCAAATACCAAGTCTGGTTGGTGGTTGAGCCCTACCCCTCTGAAAAAATGATGGAGTGAAAGTCAGTTGGGATGATTTTTCATTCCCAACTGTTTCTGGGAAGTCAGAAAAAAATCCATGGTTCCAGTCACCACCAACCAGTTATTCAGAAATTCCATAACCAGAGGCTTAATCACCATGAAAATATCCCTATGAAAAACCACCAACCAGGTTCGTGTTTTCACTGGTTAAAAAACCACCATTTCTGTCGATGAAATCCCCCCGGTCCAACATGTCCAACTCAAATCGAGATCGCGGCATTCGGGACTCTGCAGCGCCAGGTAGAACGAGGACTTCAGTGGATCGCCATCGCCCAACTCCTCCTGGCGGAGCGGCGCGAGGAGCAACAAATCAGGGGAAGTTAAGCACGAAAAATCGTGATGAATAATGGAATTTCATGGAAATGAAGCATGAAAAATGGTGATGTCATAAGATTTAAACCTTCGACCATGGTGATTTTGTAGGATGTTAAGCTTCAAACATGCTGATTTCCATGGGACTTTTTGCTACTGTAAGAGAAGGACTTTGTGTGGATTTCACCTTTAAAAAAATGGGGATGTAGCCAAGATGGGGATTTAAGAGGAGTGATGTTCAGCAAACATGATGATTTTACCAACAAGAATTTAGATTTGGCACGACAATAATATGGATTTAATCGGCCAAAAAAGGGATTTAACCAGCAAGTATTTGAAAAAAATAAAGAACATAAAAAAAAAAAACATGATTGTGGGTGTGACCTGTAAACATACAACTACCGGTAAAACATCTCACACTGTAATCAATAACAAACATTACAAACAAACACCCGTCTGTCCCGGCACATTTGCGAAATGCGGCGGGTCGCTTCTAGAAATTGGTTTGTCCAAAATTCTGGTATACACTGATTAATCGCATCCTCCAAATATCAAATATCCCCAAAATGAACAGACCCAACACTAAACCAGGGCTTCCAAATTTCATTTCATACTAGGGGGAATGGATTACGACAAAAATAGCCTATCAGATTGCCATTTTTGGTGCCAGTGTTTGCACCCCTTTCTAAATCTTCAGAAGTCCTTAACCTTGAACTGATTGTTGCTGAAGGAACAAATCCTCAGCATGAACGAACGGACGTCTGAGAAGAACGACCCATTTTCGTTGTTGCGAAAAAACTGGGAATTTCAGGATCTTAAAAGAGAGCTACTGTACCATATAAAGCAATAGTTTGGGGATATTAATATGATATATCCCCTTACATAGGCCTTATATGGCCTTATATATGATATATGGTATATAGGTACCTCCAACCAATCGGTTCCTGTTGCATGGCCATTGATCAACACCTTGTATCCGCGAGGGCTGATCTGGTGCCTCAACGTCCAAATTGCTGCTACTTCCAACTAGCTTGGCTGTTGGATTATGGCAAACATGGGGATGTAGGTGATTTATGGTAGGTAAGTTGGGTTTACAACCAAAGTATGCTATGAAGCTCAATCCCAATCCCTAGTTGTTGTTGGTTTAGCTTTCCCATTTATGTTGCGCGGAAAAAAAAGAACTACGATATCAGTGATTGTGCTTTGACCCCTCCCCATGATAGATAAAACACCAAGAAATTCCCTCTTTCCCCCTAGTTATGTTTGTTGGCTTATGTTCACCCATCCGACTGTAGTGATGTAGTGTTACAATCACCATTTTTACCCAACAGTTAAGCTAGTACAAGCCAACTTAGCCATACTTAGCCGATAACTACTGTATCCAGAAGATTGCTTGCGTTTTCACAGTTTATCCAGATGATGGTTAAAGCCAGATTATTCCCACTGAAATCCCATCAAATCACAATTGCTCGTACTAAAATCCCCATATCTTCCCCCATTTTTCTGTCCCTATTTTTCTGAATTAAACCTCCATTTGTTCTTGATTCCATCCTCATTATTTTGTTTCGTCAGATCACCAGAAACCCAACACTTAAGCCAGGTTTTTGAACCCAACTTACCCTCTGGTAAACCAACAGTTTGCTATTGAAAATGGCCCAGTCGAAATAGTTGATGTTCCCATTAATAGCATGGTGGATTTTCCATAGCTATGTAAACGTTTACCAGAGGCTAATCAATGAAAAACGATGGAGTTCGTCAGTTGGATGATTTTTCCATTCCCAACTGAATGGAAAGTCAGCAAAAAATCCATGGTTCCAATCACCACCAACCAGTGATTTCATGGATATATATATATATATATAGAGACATATCTAATGGCCATAGAAATAGTTGATTTTCCCATTAATAGCATGGTGATTTTCCATAATTAGTCATGTAAACGTTCGTTTACCAGGCCGGGTACCTATCATAACTCACTGGAAAATCCCCTTGGTTCCATCCTCATGTCTGGTGCCCGTGCCCGCCACCGGCGCCAAGGTCAAGCATCCAGAAGCTCACGGGGCGCCAGTTGCCACTAATGGACTTTCCTTCCGCCATCCTCCATGGAGCGAAGGAATGGGCTGGGCCGCTGGGGCTCAGCAAAAATCATGGCTTTCACCAACGAAAATGGTGCTTTAACCAGCAAAAATGGTGCTTTAACCATCAAAAATGATGGTTTAAGCAATAAAAATGGAAGTCTAAGCAACAAAAATGGTGTGTTTTACCACACGAATTGGGAGTACAACCAGCAAATATGGTTTGAATTGGGGGACTGAATCCGCAAAACATGGAGGTTGAAACCCCCAAATCATGGGGCGAATGGGATTCAACTAGGAAAATGAGGAGAATGAGGGGGTGTTAACCCCCATCACCAACCATAGAGGCTTACCAAACCCCTTCTTTTTTTCTTTGGGAAGATACTCTTTGACTGGGAATATTGTGATTTATCCTTTGAAAAATAAACAAAAGTGGTATATCACCAACAAACTCTGGATTTGCATTGCTTCATGCTGTAGCGATCATCCTCAGGGATCATCCTCACTTGTTACAAGGCGAAGCGAACTGATGGGAATTTTCCCACTTGTGACCTGCCTATCCCCATTTCTGAGCGAAATCCGCAATTCTGGCCAGTCAAATACGAAATGTGGGTAAAATCTCCATCTTTGTCAGTGAATTCCATTCTTCCTGCTACATGCACACTGTTCACTCACTTCAGGCCCCTCAACTGGTCGTGTTCAAGCGACATGGTTCTTAGTCAAATCCCCTTTTTCTTGTCGGTCACATCCCCCTATGATTCCCAATCTGTGTTACCCTCTGGTAATTTAACATAACTATGGAAAATCACCATTTTTAATGGGAAAATCCACTATAAATGGGCCATGTTCAATAGCTATGTTAGTTTACCAGAGGGTAGCTACTTCAATTCCCTTTGTTTGATGGTCAAAAACAAAATGTTCATTGCATACCTTCCGGCAACCCAACATGGCTGGAATTCATCAACCGTTGACTTCGATGACTTTCGCATAAAAGAAAACACTCCATCGAGGTCGGGGATTGACCAGCCAGCCATGTTTGATTACCGAAGGGTAAATCCATCATCTCTTCCCTTGCTGGCCTTGCTGGTACCCCCTGCGGTTCCAACCTAGCCGAGACACTTCCTGAGACTCAGAATGAAATCTTCGAAGCCGTTGCTCCAACAATGCGAGACCTTGAAGCAAGGTCTCTGAAAAGGCCGTGCACCAAACAAAAAAACTGAAAACCAACCAGTGGAACCTGAACATCATAAGTCATACCCTCTGGTAATTTAACGTAGCTATTGAAAATGGCCATTAATAGTGGATTTTCCAATTAAAAATGGTGATTTTCCATAGTTATGTTAAATTACCAGAGGGTAAGTGCATTTCACTGGGGAAGTCATCCAACAAATTTCACCATGTGACATTGCATTTTTGCTGCAACCACTTCCAAGGTGGTTCACAGGTCGGAAAAATGGCGATAGTTTTCCCCGTTTTTCAAAAAACAATCAAGGCGGGTCCCAATAACCCCCTCCCATCAATCAACTGCAATCAAGTTCAATCAATTTCCATGTGTTACATCTACATCATGATCATCATCATCATCATCACCACTATCATCTACTCATCAATATATATATACACCCAACCAAACACCATCATCATCTTTCCCCTCGAAAATCGCCATCTTTCCAGGTGAAGGTTAGCCATTCCAAGCCACAAACCAGGAGGCGCGGCAGGCTCCCGCCACATCGGCATAGGAGAGGCGCCAGGGCTTGGTGAAGGGGATCAGCAAGTTGTTGGTCACGTAGTGCCTGGAGGAACCAGGTAGAGATGTGGCTTGGGAAAAAAGATTTTAGAAAAACCAGAAGATATGTCATGAGGATGAAGAAACATTGGGATTTAAGAAAAATATTGGGATTGGTAGATTTGAGAGTTCATTTATTTACCCTCTGGTAAACTAACATAACTATGGAAAATCACCATTTTTAATCGGAAAATCCACTATAAATGGCCATTTTCAATAGCTATGTTAAATTACCAGAGGGTAATAGCTATGATAGTCACGCAGTGATGTAGTGCCTGGGCTGATGAGGTAACAAAAATATGGGGAGCTCACCAGTATGTGATGTAGATATTGGTTTTTGCTGGAACCCCCAGTTGACAGGTCTGAATATGTGGGTACATAAAGGGATCACTTAATGGGGATGTATCAGGTTTACAATGCATTTTACACATGGGCCGCTCAGCGGCCACTAGCGATGTGCTCACTATGGAGATTTAACCGGCAAGTGCTGAAAGAGCCATTCTCTGAAAATGTGATTGGAAAACACCAGCATAAATGGCAATGGGAAAATAGGATATCCCCATAATCTGTGTATATCCATTTCATTTTTCAGACAAACCCATGTGTATATCCATTTTATGGCATTGGGTACCCTCCGATAATCGAACATGGCCATGGGAAAACCCCATGGATTATGGAGGCGATTTTTACGCGAAAGGAAAATCATCTACTATGGAATCTTCCAGCCAACCATGTTTGATTACCCAAGGGTACTCATTGTTTTCTGGACCAAGCCATATGATTGGATCTGAAACCGACCCCAAAGTCAGCGAAGTTCTGTCAGTTTAGGTGGAAACCAAGGGCTTTCAACCGCGACAAGTCCATTCTAGATCCAGTCTATCCCAGTTTATCCTAATTGTTCCTAGGTTCTTATTCCCGTTGGTTTTATATCTCATCAAATATCCCCAGAAACTTTCCTAGTTGAATCATGTTGAATCCCCAGTTGTCCTACTCGAATCTCTATGTCGTGAAAATCATGATTCATCGAAGTCTACCCTCGGGTAAACTAACATAGCTATTGAACATGGCCCAGTCGAAATAGTGGATTTACCATGATTTACCCATTAATAGCATGGTGGATCTTTCCACTTCGTAAAACGTTAGTTCGTTGACCGGAGGCCATCATCCCCATTCTTTGATGCAAGCACATTCATATATATATAGTGTATATAGTGTAATATATATATATATAGTATATATATATAATATATATATATATATATACAGTACATATATATATATATGGTATATATATCCCCTATGACCTCGGTGATTCATCCCATCCCAGCCATCCCAGCCATGTTTTCGAATCGGCACATGTCGCGATGACCAATGAAATCGCGGAAGTATTCGAAGAGCTCGCTGATCTTCTCAGCTGTAATCGCTCGATCGGGGCCTCCAGAGGCGCCAAAAAAGATCTCCAGGAACCGAACCCAAGCCGAACCCCACACCAGAGGGGGAAAAAACATCAATGAGGATTGATCTAACATGATCTAACCATCACAAAATGTGACTTGACCATGAAAAATTGTGATCTAACCATCCAAAATTGTGACTTAACCAGCAAAAGTGGTGATTTAAGTGGCAAAAGTGCTGATCGAACTAGCAAAAAATATGGACAACCGTGGAAAATCCACAAATCTATACTGTGTGGGACCCCCAAAAAATAGGCAAGTGCATTTACAACTACACTAAGTATGGTCTCCGGTAGATATATACCGTATATCATACCTATAATTGTGGCTTCATAAGCCAACTTTCCTCTAAGTTCTCCCACCTTGTAGATTAATCCTTGGGAACATCATAACAGCCCCCAGGGTAAATGTTCAACTGTTGGCATGTTTTTGGGGTGGGATATTTGCAGTAAACTAAGGAAATGACAGTGGTTGGGTATGGTGTTATCTTTAAAGTTCTGGTATACCAAATGCGCAATTTTCAATTGAGAATAATGCTAGCTTACCTCATTTTCAGACAAGCCCATGTGTTTCTGCTTTGATGACCCATCAAGAGAACGTTGGACAAGGATCATCAAAATTCGATACCACCAGCGGCCAAAGACTAAAGAGTTCATACTTTGGTGTCCAACAAACCACCCAGGGGCTTGGGTTTTTCAACATGTGTTTCAACAACATTCCCCATCGCATGCTGAAACATGTTGAAACTCAAAAGCCCTTCAAAGAAAAACATGGGTGTGTCTGAAAATAGTGATATAACTTAACCTATTAAATTGCTATAATTGGGAATATACCCTATTTTCAGACAAACCCACATGATGCTTTGACACTAAACGGGAAAACTCTCCTCACCCTTTGGGTGATTCCACAAGATGTAGCCATCACCGGAGGATGTCACTGGCGCCTCGCGGACTCTCTCTTGGCCAGGGGTTGGCCTCGTCGCCAATTTATGGGGATGGAATATGGAAAGACCACAACGTTTAGAACTTGACCAGAAAATCAATGGGATATACCCCACAATTCATATGGCCTTATATGATATGGTACAAGTTTACGTACCTCCATCTGTTGGATCCTGGAGATCTCCCATTGATTGTATATAAACGAACCAAAAATGAGATGTGCACAAATAGTGGATCGAACGTATCATCATGAGTAGCCGATGAGGATTTTGTTTTGGTTTTCCCCGGTTTCAATGGAAAGTATGGAACCGCTGGGGGAAGCAGTTTCAAAGTACCTCGAAGGTGGTAACCGTCATAGGTCATAGGTCATGAGGCACACTGACTACCCAACCTGGTTATGACTAACATAGCCATGGAAAATGGCCCATTGAAATAGATGATTTATCTATTAATAGCATGGGTGGATCTTTCCATGGCGAACTGTTAGTCATAACCAGATGGTATATGATAAAGATGCCAGCGATATGGCGGAAAATGGCTATTCTTTGCACCAGCAAGAAACCCAGAGGAACTGCACCCCGTAGGACACCAGTTCTGCTGACCTTCAACAGCCGTTGTCGGAAGACTTCCCTTCGACGCTTCAAGGGCGTGCTGCGCATCTGTGACTGCCAGACCTCAGCAAAAAAACACAGTTTGGACTCACCATCGAGAGGGCAATTTTTCTGGGTATTCTTAATGTACCTTAACCAGCCAACGTGAGGATTTGACTGATTAGAAATTGTGTCTGAAAATGGTGGTTTTACCATCAATAAGTAGGATTTAACTAGCAAAAATTGTGAGGTAATGGGATATATCAGCAACTTGTAACTTGATATGATATGATATGACTTGCCTGTGTCTGAAAATTGGGTTTACAGTACCAAAAATCCAATGTTGATCTCCGGAAGATGGTGATTCTCTATGAGATTCTTGGGCATTCGATGGTGATTTTTGTTGAAGCCTACACCCCATCAGTTGGAACCCTAGCTTCGCAGAAACTGATCTAGAAAAATCCAGGTCAACAGCTAATGCTAAGAGACCGCAAGAAAACGTCAAGTCACAAGATCTATCTATGATCTAATTATGGTTAATAAACTAACAACTACTGTAATAGATAGATGTTGGTTAATTATGGCTAACAAAATCACAATTCATAGATGGATGATGATGGACGTTTAGTATAATATATATATAATATAATATATATATATATAGTATAATATATATATATATATAACTACACAAGAAGTTCACAAACGAGTTCCACATGTGCCGCCCTTGCTCCAAACTTCAGTGCCTACAGTGAATGTTCCCTAGGACATCCCTCACCATTCGCAAGTCAGATACTCCACCTCTGGCGGAATTTTGTGGTGTGTACATTTGGTTTCCACTCCCCAGTTACCCTCTGGTAAACTAACATAACTATGGAAAATCACCATTTTTAATGGGTAAATCCACTATAAATCACCATTTTCAATAGCTATGCTAAATTACCAGAGGGTATATACATATGGGATATCCCCAGGCATTAAAAAATGGGTCATCACAGTAGTTCAAATTCCTAGGCAACGCATATCCAAGTTTTTTGGGGGTTGGGACTCCTGTTGGTGAAGTGATATCTGGTTGTAGACAGAATCCTCAATAGTATCCCCAATTTGGGGAATTAAAATCCCCAACACCAACATAATGTTGCTGCTGCTGGTGAAGAAATAGAACATGTGAATTCCTGATATGTTTAATACCTAATTCAAAGATTGATGTTTGGCATAGGAAATGAGCTAGATATGAATGAAAACACTCCAGTTGACCATGGGTCATTTCTACGTTCTATGGGTAAAATAAACCACGTACTAACTCTTAAACGCCCAGTATATATTCCTAATCAAATCCTCAACCTTTGATTCTTGGCAAATCCACCATCTTTGTTGGATGCACCTCCAATATGATCATCATCACCGTACCATTTTTTGTTCTTTGAATCACCATTTTTGGTGGTTTACCCTCTGGTCAAACCTGACACCTGAAGATTCACCAGTTAGTTCTATGATTGTCCCAAAAATATACACTTTCAATATATCCTATGTTTTTCCTATATAAAAGCCTCCATTTGCAGAGGATTCTCACGTGCCACGTTTGACGACGTCCAGGGGACGAAGTAGTAGATGCAGAGGGTCGCTAAGCCGCCAAGCACACAAAAAGAGATGGTCCATGGCAAGCGTTTCTCCTCTGATCTTTTGTCAGATTTAACCTGGTTTAATGGGATTATAATAGGATTTTACCGTCACATAGAGATTTTAGCGGAATTTATGAGGACAATGGGATCATAATGGGATCATTGTAGTTTTTGGACATCAAAACATTGACATTATATGGGTTTGAAAAAAAAATCAACTACTTAAATTAGGAAAAAATATGGTTTAATGGGGTTGCAAAGAATTGGTTCATCCTACTTCGTAAGCCAGTAGTTGGTTCATCCAGTGTTGATATGGATATCCACAGATGTAAATCTGCATGCTGGACAATAACATTGATGAGAAAGATAGAATACGGAATCGATACTTTCGGCCTCGAAAAACATCCATCTTCCATAGTCGGAAAAAAAGAGAAAACCGTTACTTAGAATTTGAAGAACACAAACCCAAAACATACAAATATTATATATATACATATGCGTTTTCGATTGTGGAGGATGTTTTTCGCCAATTTTTTGGGGTTTACCTTACTTCAGTGCCCCTGGCGCGTGGGCGAAGCTCTCGAAGTTTTTGTGTCTTCTCTCTCGCTCTCTCTCTCTTTCTCTCCGCTCCCTCCGTCTGCCTGTCCCATGCCCCTCACTTGTTTGCTGTTCTCTAAAACAAACCAGAAATGGTTATGTAATTAATAAACATCGTTCAGTCAACCTCTTCTGGTTCCTGGGGAGAATGATTCTTCATTTCCATACTCCTTAAATTCGTTCATCATTCTGAATACCTTGATAATCCTAGTCCAATGGAATTTCATGCGCAAGCATTCCTGGAATATTCGTGACACCTTTGGGCATCCACGTATTCTCGTTTCAACAGGTTTAGC